GCTGTGGGAGGGATTTGAAGTGGTAGCAGATGAACATCCCTCCCCTTCGATAAACGCTGCGTGTTTCTTGCAGCTGTGAGACAAGAGCAGGCTCCGTGCAAAGCCCCAGCTCCTGCAGCGCCGCGATCCTGCTGCGGAGCGGGGCTTGTGCTGAGCTGGAACCCGGGGCACAAATCCTCCAGATGTTATCATCTCCTGGTGCCACAGATCCAGCAAAAAAAAAAAAAAAAAAAACCAAAACCACACGCTGGGTTGTTGTGCACACACCTGACCTGGGGGAATCTGCTGCTTGGGCTAAATCCTGACCCCGAGTTCGGTCCTTTGCGCTACCCGCACCCCGGCCGTGCATCGCCCGCCTCACTCGGCGTAGGATCTTCACCGCGCTCGCCCTGCTTGCCTTTCAAAGAGTGCAATCCTCAAATGAGGCTACCGACGCGGGGTGGGGGAAAAGAAAAGTTGTAGACTAATCTCAGCACACCTCAGAACTCCGGCGCGCATCCGGGCACGAAGCGCTGCTTGCCTGCTGAGCAAATCGATGACACTCACAGCTCGCCGGCGAGGCAGCGAACCGTCCGCACAACCGGAGCAATGGGCTGGGCTGGGCTTGACAGTTCCTCTGGGAAAAACGACAGGTATCAGGGGAGGAAGGGAGAGGCCATTTGGTCAGGGAGGACCGAGCGGTTCGAACAATCGGGGCTCTGTGAGAGCGGCGCCGGCGAGAGGGGTTCGGGCTGGCTCCTTCCCCCGCGCCGCGAGGGACGGGCGACGGGCTGCCTCCGCCCGAACGTAGGCGTTGGGCACCTTCGGAGAAAGCGGCCTCAGAAAGGCGAGAGGGTCCTTCCCTGGCGAGCCGTGGCTACGTGTGGATCCGCCCGGGAGGTGGCCCGGTTTCTCGCCCCGATGATGACGACATAATTAAGGCAGAAAAGGAGTAAAATAGCCGTTGCGCCCGGAGCGGTAAGTGTTGGAGAATGGCTCAGGGACAAGGGTCCTGAGCCCACCGAGCAGTTGTACGATCAGAGCCTGCTCTGGCTGCTGATGCTGGGCCTCACTAGGGTTTGCCTGCAGCTGCTCGCAGCTGCTGATACAGGAGGAATGTCAAGGACGCTTCAGCCTTGTGTACCGTGGTGTGTCGAAAACAGGTTAAGGGGAATTAGGAATAGTGGTCTGAGAAACCCAGTGTTATGGTAACGGTGGTCTGAGAAACATTGTGTTACGGTACCGTTGTGTATCGAAAACAAGTCAAGAGGAATCAGAAATAGTGGCATGAGAAACTTAGTGTTATGAGAAGCTTGGGCTGTAAGCTAGCTGCAAGCAGGTGGACCGTGCGAATACGACCTTTAGAGCTTAAGCCAATCAGCTAGTGATTAGTAGGCATAATAATTATCATTGTCTGTATAAATATATGTACCCTGGACCAATAAACACACACGTTGATTGATGCTCTGTCACCCACACTGAACCCGTCTCGGCGTGTCGTTCCTCCGCGGCTCCGCAGGTAAGGGCTCGGCCGGGGTCTCCAGCCTGTTTTGTCTGTGACCTGCTGGCGTGGAAATACCCTTCCCGGACGGGCTGGGGACGGGCACGTCGTGCACGGTGGAACCACGCCGGACCCAGGGCCCCGCGCAGGATCCGGCTTTGAAGGGACGACGCGGCGCGGAGCAGAGGCAGGGCACGGGCAGGTGCCTGCATTGCCTGGGAGCCGGCACATGTAAAACCCCAAACGGAGCGTATCGCCGCGCAGAGGTGAGCGAAGAGCAAGGTGAGACACCGGTGTCAGACCTTTTGTGGCCATCTCTGTCCTCGTCGCTTCCCTGGCACACGCGATAACCGGAGACGGAAGGATGGAGGAAAACCCAGGCAGGCCCCCCCAGCTTTGATCTTGCACAAAGAAAGAAAATCCGGGTTTTTCACCCCGGCAACAGCTGCAAAATGGAGCGTGGCCGAACCATTCGGCTCGTGAATTGCCGTATTGCCCTGAAATCTTCCATCCCGCCGTGGGGAGCGGCTGGCATCGTGCGGTGGTGCAGGATGCCTGCTGGGGAGGAGACCGGACCGGTTACCGAGTCAGCAGAGCCCCAACCAAGCACACCATCTGGATTTGCCCGTTCTTGGGATGTTTAGTCCTAAAAGTAGCGCTGGAAAACGGAGCTGGGTCAGTGACGGAGGGCAGGACTCCTCTCTGATCCCAGTGAAAAGCAGCCGAGCCGCTGTGAGCGGGGACGGGACGGTGATCTAGAGCGGGGGGGCTTCCCCCAGAGGCTAAGCCTTCCAGACACCAAGAAAAGAGGAGAAAAAAAGAGATTTCTGTGGAAGTTTTCCAGTTCTTTACGACTAATACCCTGCTGTCAGCCAACAGGCACAGTAGTCATCTTGCTGAGATACATATAATCCTAAACTAGAAGTCGATACCCTATAATATTAGTTCTAATTGTATCTCCTGTACTACAGGTAGGAATTTAAGATGATTCAGCCTGTCCCCGCCTAATGGCATTTGGACATTCGACACGGAGCAATCCCATTTTACTGCAGCTATCGATTTGTTCTGGCAACAGCCCTGCGACCGGCCGAGTTTTCATTCATTTATTTAATTACGGCAGAGGCGACCAGATGGCCAGATAGCGCCGACATTTGTCCCCCCACCCCGGGGGCGAGTGGTTAAACATATTCATAGGGAATATTACCCAGATTCCTTGAAATCTCCCTGAATGCTCTTGGGGGTGTCGGGGGATACGCCTGACCTTCCACATTTTTATCTCCAAAACCCGCTTCAACGCAGAACAGCGGGTCAGGGGTGCACACGCGTGTGGAATTCCTCTCCCTGCGCTTAATTTTCACGAAATCTTTGCAATCTTTACCTGCAAGCCTGCAGCCTCTCTGCCGAGCGCAGCCAAGTGCTCCGCCGGGGGGATGCCTGACAGACAGATGCATGGGCATGTAATTGTATGAGCCCCGTTTCCTTAGGAAATCGGCTTAAAATAATAACTGGAAGATATTAAAGCTGTTTCACAATGGGAGGGCAGGCGGGGGGAAGAGGAAGGGCTCTTTGCTTCTTTGTAATGTAAAGTGGAGCCTGAAATATTGCTCCTCGCTGAAAGGGAAAAGAATAATAAATATGAGGATGTTATTTACGTGTGACCATTTGAGCTCTTCCCTCTCTTTCCTGAGGATACTCCATGTACAGCTGGGGAAATTAATTGGGTTTTGCCAGCCGAGGAGCTGAGCGGGTGACGTCTGGGTCACCGCAGGGAGGAGATTTGTCCCTCAGGTCCTTAAAATTCACCAATAACCTTCCCAGGCGCTGAAGGAGCCGGAGGGAGAAGACGCTCTTGGCGAAAGCTTCAGGGGACGCGGCGCGGGGAGCAGGAACGTCCCGAACCCCAGCGTGAGGGTGCCGAGGATAGGGGAGGCCCTGCTCCACCCTTCTCCCTCTCCCTTAAAAAAAATAAAAATAAATCCGCCCCAGGGGAGGGATCTCCGGCTCAGCCACCCCGGGGAGGGTGTCGGGTCCCTTCTCCTGTCCCACGTGTGAACGCTGCTGCGGGCAACCGCACGGCCTTCGCCGCTCCCGCCCGCGGTTTCCTGGCTGTGGTTTCCCTACGAGTGGCATCGGGTCGGGGAAACCCGCGGCGGCGGCTGCCGGCCGCTGCGCTCCCCGGCCCCGGCCGGAGGAAAACCCCCCCGGAGCCGAAAGGGCGGGGGAGGCACGGCAAAGGCACCTCCCCGCCGCCGCCGCCTTCGTTTTTATTCTGAATTCTTATTTATTCCCCCTGCAGAGCTTGACCCCAGGGAGCGTACGGCACCAGGAGCAGCCACGATGGTCACCGACCGCTTTTCGGGGGGGGCGGGGGGGAGCCCCGGTGCCAGGGCAGGATGCTCCGGGCACAGCATCACGTGGGGCTGAATTTATCCTCTAACAGGCACTCCATCCCTTCTAACCAGGATTTTTGACTCATAACCCTCTTTAAATGGTGGGGTTTTGGTGGTTGCGTCTCGTTTTTCCCCGCTAGAGCAAAGAGCTGGTTCCATCTGCTGAGCCCCTTGCGAGGAAGAGGGGGGTTTTCCCGGGATAAATGCTTTTTTTTTCTTCCTTAAAAAAAATGCTTTTGTCCCCATGTGCCAAATCAAGGGGGCATTTTTGGTGCCTGAGGGGGAAAACACAGGGGATGTGGTGGGGTCCGGATGTCTCCTGTAGTTTACAAAATTAAAGTATTTTAGCTTTTTGTTTCAAAACAATGTATCATTTAGGAGCAGCTGCTTCAATCCATTTTTCTTTTTTTTAAAAAAAAACCCTCACAAAAATAAAATATAGATAAAGAGCAAAGAAAGCCCACAAAAATAAAGGTAGAGAAACATTTTGTTTCGCCCTGGATGAACCAGCCTTCGCTCAGGCTTCCCACTGCCCACGCGCCCCAGCACAGAGCCCTGCGACAGCAACGGTTCCCTCACCAAAAAAACATCAGGAAAACGCAATTTTTCACCAGCCAATTCCACCCGGATTTCAGAGGGGTGCTTGCTCTCTGGGAAATACCAAGCGCTCCCAAGCAAAATAACAATAATTAAAAAAAGACACTTCCCCAAAGCAGCGTTTGACCCCCAAAAGCACCAACCGCACAGCCTGGGACCCCGCTCCAGCCGCGGCACCCAGCAGCACCCCGAAACGGGAGTCACCCAACGGAGGGTTTGGGGATATTTAAGCCCGTAGTGCCATCTGCTGGCAAAGGGCCCCCCCCCCCCCCCCGAGCCCCCCAACTTCCCCGCCGAAGCCCGGTGAGTGTCCCCCCAAAAGGTCCCGGTAGCACCCGCAGCCGTTTCCAGCCCCCCACACCTGCCTTCCGCCGGCGAAACGGCCGGGACGGGGCGTTTAAAGCACTTTAAAGTGTTTTTTAAAGCACTTTGCAGTGGTTTCTAAAGCGGTCGGAGGCCTTTTAGCAGAAAGGACCGAACCCCACGACGTTTCCCCGCACTCGATACCTCCCCAAAGAGCCCAGGGCAGCCGCTGGCAATGGAAACTTGGCAAATTTAATACTGATACAGGAGGGTTTTCCTTTACACAGCAAAAATGAACCCGTGGAGGTCACCGGGATAGCGAGAAAGCCAGGAGCCTACCAGGATTTAATAAAAACATGGATAGGGATAATGGACAGATACAAAACACCAGCAGGGACTGGAGTCCTCCTACCTCAGGGCTCGGCCAGGTTCGCTGTAACTTGGGTTTTTCTTCTTAAAAAAATAATAAAAAAACCCCTTTGCTCAAGGGGCTGGTGCACCCAGACAGCAAAGGTGACCCCGGCCCGCCTTGCGCGCCCCGGGGTTTTAAAGTTTAATTTTTTTTTATTTTTTTTTTTTTTTTTTTTGCATCATGGCTCAGGGAGCACCCGTGCACCCCAACACGGCCCCCCGTCTCCTGTGGCCGGGGACCACCGTCCCACCAAGCCTCCGGGTTGGGTCTGGTTCAGCTCTCTGAGGAGCTGGAAGGCACTTTGGGACCCCTGAAGAAACTGGGGTGCACCCAAAAAAAACGGGCGTACCCCGGGGGATGCTGCTGCCGCCCCGTGACGGGGAGAGGCAGGGCAGCTCATCCCGCTCTCGGCCGCAGCACCCGAGCGGAGGCCGTGCCCGGCCGTCACATCTCGGCGTATTATACAAAGATTTAAAAATTAAAAAATGTAAAAAAACAGAACAACAAAAAAAAAAAAAACCAACAAAAAACAACCTATTGGCACAAGTGTTCGTAAGCTCTACGTACCATCTCGCCGTGGGCGGGGGCAGAGGGTGAGTGAGGGGGTGTCAGCGGGTCCCAGCACCCCTGGATGTGGGACAAAACTCACCACAAATCTACCCTGACCTCCGCTCGCCCGCTGTCACGGGAGGGCCACCCCGTCCTCGTCGGCTGGCAAATCGATTCAACTGTCCTTAAATCCCTGCAGGACCTGGGTGGGGTTTGTTCCACCGACACCCCGTTTCTCTTCACCCGGCGACGCCGGAGAGGGGGACGCCCCCAAAAGCTTTCTGCCGGCGTCTTGCATCAAGCCTGGGCGACGTGGGGAGAAACGTCGTCCTCCGAGGGGAGGAGTGGGCGGTGGCCAGGCCGGCGGGGTGCTCGGCGCGGGTCCCGGCGGGACGGGGTGGGCTCCGGTGGCCCCCTCGCAGGTTGTCCGTGCAGGACGAGGCTTTGGGTGTCACTCCAAGCGTCCTCGTCCCCTCGCCAACATCCCGCCGGGGTTTTAAAAGTCCGAATCGGCGTCCAGCAGCTCCGCGTCCACCAGGTTGGTCCGGGAGTGGATGGGGGCCAAGCCGGCCCGTCGGCCCTGAGTCCTGGGCCCCCCGCCGCGGGGCAGGGTGCCGGGGTCGGGGGGCCAGAGCGGACCCCCGTTGTGCTGCCAGCGCCCGGTGCTGGGGCCGGGGCTCTCCTCCTCCGGGGTCCCGCTCTCGGGGCAGAAGGGGTTGCTGATGAGGTGGAAGACGTTGGCTCTGCGACGGCTGTCCCACGGCCCCCCGGCGAAAGCGGCTTCGGGCTGACCGGGCGGGAGCCCCGGGATGACATCGGGGGCGAAGGCGACCAGGCAGGGCTGGGGGGGCAGCCGGGGCAGGCGAGGGACGGTGCTGGGAGCCAGGGGGGCTGTGGAGCCCCCCAAGCAGCGCTCGGGATCTGGGCATACCTCCTTCTTCTTCTTCTTCCTCCGTTTCTTCTTGCGGGCGTTGCGTTTCTGCAGCTCGGGGGAAACGTCGGCCTCCACCACCCAGAGGTTGGCCCTCTCCTCCGGTGGCACTGCGGGACACGGGGCGGGTCAGAGCAGCCGCGTCCCCCCCCTGCGCTCCCCCCCGCCAACCCCAGCACCCCTCAACCCAGCTCATCCCTCACCCCCCACCCCGAGATGTCCCAAATGATCCCCCCAAGGACTTGCCAGGCGTCGCCACGGGCGTCACGGAGATGTCCTGAGGCAGGATAGCCCCTCTCCTGGCCACCATCTTGGTGACGTGCTGGGCCCACGCCGAGGACACATCCGCCGACGGCTCGTTGACGTCGAACGCTAAACCAGCTGCAACGGCAACGGGGGAGCCCCGGGTGAAGGTGGGGACCCCGGGGGGCTGCCGAGGCGGCCCCTTCCCACGGGGACGTACCCACGGGGCCGTCGTGCGAGACGGTGTGCATGCTGAAGGACAACTCCTGGCCCGGGTCGCGCAGCAGCTCCTTGCGCTTGGAGAAGGCCTTCGCGATCATCTTGCTCTTCTTGATTCTCTTGGGCTGGTCGTCGCTCTGCCCCGTCAGCCTGGGGACGCGGGCGGGTCAGAGCAGGGACACGGGGTGGCCCAGGGACAGGGGACACACGACCGCAGGCGTTGTAGCTGGGGGGACAGGGACCCTCCCCTCCTCTAGACAGGGACACCAAGGGCTGGGGACCGCGTCGGATGGGTCCCCTGGGGACGGAGGCGTCCCCCAAACAGGCCATGAGACACCTACAAAACGGGAGAGGCCGCCCCGTTTTCCCGAACCGCTCTCTGCTGCGAGCCCACAACCCATCGAGCGGACGGGCAGAAATTTGGGGACGACCTCCACCATCTCAGGACGTCGGGTGAAGCAGGAACGGCTCCACGGAGCTGGGGTGGCGTCCCTGGGGTCCCACCTGCACCAGGTGCGCTTCCAGATGAGCAGGGTGGCCTTGGTCCAGACCCAGGTGCTCATGGAGACGCCGGTGCCGAACATGGCAAAGAGGTTGATCTTCTCCACCAGTAGGCTGGGCCGGTTCTTGATCTCGCAGTCCGGGATGGGCTTGTTGGTCTGGGTGGCGATGGTCACGTTGGCCTCGCAGCTGGGGGGGGGGGGGGACAGACACAAGGACGGTGGCCGTAAGGAGGGGGGACGCCCAACGACACCCTACAGCTCTGCGGAGTGACGATGGGGTGGCAACGCTGGTGGGTCCCACTCACAGGACGTATTCCCGAAAGCTGCGCTCCCACTCCGCCTGGTTGAAGAAGTCATAGAAGTGGCAACCGAAAGTGATGAAGACAAAGCCGAAGGCCAAGAAGCCGAAGATGCCTGGAAGAGAAGTGGGACATCCTTGGTTTAGGATGTCGCTACAGCTTCGTCCCCACCACCGCAGCCACCCCCAGGAAGGTGGGATGGGGCTGTCTGGGTTCAGGGGACAAAACATCCCCCGTTCCCACTCAAATTCCCACAAAAACGGTGGCGACGGAGCGCCGCTTACCCAGCCGCAGCATGGTCTCGTTGATCTTGCTGGCCGCCTTCTCGCTCAGCAGCCCGGGGTGGTTGCTCTTGATGGAGAAGAGCGTCATGACCCCTGCGGTGGAGGGACGAGGTGGTCAGGGTTGATGGGGGACGCCCATGGCGTCCCCTTCCCCACGCCGGGGTGAGCCCACGCCTACCCCGGATGAGGAAATAGCCCCCCACGATGAGGACGAGCCCGATGGGGGCCAGGACGAAGCCGGCCCGGTAGCGGTAGTTCTTGTACCCAACGAAGCAGATGCCGCTGACGGAGTCACCGTCCACCTGGCAGAGATGGGGACGGAGGGGGTCAGTCAGCTGCGGCCACCCCTCCCCGCAGGAGGACCCGCGGCCCCGGTCGCGTTACCTGCGCCACGGCCAGGATGGCCACGGTGAGGACGAAGGGGATGGACCAGGTGATGAGGTGGAAGTAGGAGGTCTTGCCCAGCAGCGGTTGGTAGGTGGTGCCCAGCGCCTTGAAGGAGGTGTGCCAGGCGTAGGTCAGCATGACGAACCAGATGACACCCGACATCAGCGAGTAGTAAACGATGACGAAGATGATGACGCAGGAGAGCGTCTCGTTGGAGCTACAGGGGGGGGAATGAGACAGGAGCGTCACCAACCTCCCCAGGAAGACATGGGGAGGAAGACCTCTCCCACCCCAAGAGCGGAGCACCCTCCGCGCTCCCAAAAAGGCCGAGAAACGCCGAGATCCCTCCTTGGGTTCGGGGACACCTCTTGGCGCGCGGTGGGATGGGGACGGAGGGGACACGTACGTGGGTTCCCCCAGCCTCATGGTGCCGTCGGCCCGGCACACGATCTCGTCGCGGGCGCCGTCCATGAACTGCGCCAGCCAGCCGATGCTGCCCACAAAGAAGCAGGCGTTGACGTAGAAGAGGATGACGGCGGGGTAGCGGTTGGAGTTCCTCCAGTCAGCGACGAACGTGGCCTGGCAGGGAGGAGAAAGGGGCAGCTTGGTGCCCGGTCCCCTTTCGGGGACACCTCCCGCGTGCCCGTCCCCCCCCCCCCGCCGTGCCTCACCAGGGTGAAGAAGGTGCAGAAGATGGTGACGGAGCTGAAGGCGGCGATGTAGACGTGCATCTCGCGGTGCTCCTGGTCGGTGAAGAGCGGGTTCTGGCACTGGATGCCGCAACCCTCCACGTCCTCGTACCAGCTCTTGGGGTTGTCCGTCCGCACCAGCGGCGCCTCGCACTGCCCCGAGCTGTTGAACTTGATGTTCTGCACCTCGTTCTGCCGCAGGAAGAGAAGCGGGGGGGTGGGTAGGGGGTGCGTGAGGAGGAGGAGGCAGCACCCCCGATGGTGAAGGCTGCGCTGCCGGCATGCCCGGGCTGCCCCGTGGGGGGATTTGGAGCCCGCGGCAGCGTGGCGGGGCATCCCCCGCTCCGTGTCCCTTTCCCCCCCGTGTCCGTACCGGGCATCCCTCGGGGAAACGGTCGGGCGTGCACTTGAGGAAGTCGGGCCAGCCGCGCTCGCGCTCCACGATGGTGCAGGGCGCCCGGGTGGCCTGGCAGAGGGTCTGGCTGGGCAGCTCCACCTGCCCGTCCTCACACTTGGGCATGTAGACGGCGCAGAGCAGGGGCTGGATGACGTCCCAGCAGCGCGGGGCGTTGCGCAGGCCTGGGGGGACAGCGGCGTCACTGTCCCCGTCCCCGTGTGCGTGTGTCCCCCCCCTCCTCCAGCCCCACTGGGGACACGGGGCAGAGCCCGGCAGAGGTGGCACCGGCACATGCAGCACCCAGACTCCCCCCCCCCCCCCAAACACCCCCGAGTGCCCTGCCTGTCCCCAGACCCCTGCTATAGCGCTATACCCAGCTCCAGGCCCCCCCTGTACTGTACCCTGTCTCCCCCTCTATACCGCACCCATGCCTGGCCCCCCCTATTATACCTCCACCCCCGTTCCCTGCTATACTGCTCCCCTCTACACTGTACCCACCTCCAGGCCCCTGCTATACAGTTTTCTACGCTGCACCCACCCCCCGTCCCCCACCATACAGCTCCCCTCTATCCTGCACCCATCCCCAGATCCCTGCTACAGTTTTCTACGCTGCACCCACCCCCTGTCCCCCACTATACTGCTAGCCTCTACGCTGCACCCATCCCCAGAACCCCACTATAAAGTTTTCTATACTGCACCCATCCCCTGGCCCCCGCTACAAAGTTTTCTATCCTACACCCATCCCCAGGCCCCCACTATAGAGTTTTCTCTATCGCACCCACCCCCTGTCCCCCACTATACTGCTCCCCTCTACAGTGCACCCATCCCCAGGCCCCCGCTATACAGTTTTCTCAGCTTTTTATACTATACCCATCGCCAGGCTCTCGCTATACAGTTTTCTATACTGCCCACCCCCCCTGTCCCCCACCATACTGCTCCCCTCCACACTGCACCCACCCCCAGGCCCCCGCTATAAAGTTTTCTATCCTGCACCCACCCCCAGGCCCCCGCTATAAAGTTTTCTATCCTGCACCCATCCCCAGAACCCCACTATAAAGTTTTCTATCCTGCACCCATCCCCAGGCCCCCGCTATAAAGTTTTCTATACTACACCCATCCCCAGGCCCCCGCTATAAAGTTTTCTATCCTGCACCCACCCCCAGGCCCCCACTATAAAGTTTTCCACCCTACACCCATCCCCAGGCCCCCACTATAAAGTCTTCTATCCTGCACCCATCCCCAGAACCCCACTATGAAGTTTTCTATCCTGCACCCATCCCCAGGCCCCCACTATAAAGTTTTCCACCCTACACCCATCCCCAGGCCCCCGCTATAAAGTTTTCTATCCTGCACCCACCCCCAGGCCCCCGCTATAAAGTTTTCCACCCTACACCCATCCCCAGACCCCCACTATAAAGTTTTCTAACCTGCACCCATCCCCTGGCCCCCGCTATAAAGTTTTCCACCCTACACCCATCCCCAGGCTCTCGCTATAGTTTTCTCTATCGCACCCACCCCGTCCCCCACTATACTGCTCCCCTCTATCCTGCACCCACCCCCAGGCCCCTGCCACACCGCTCACACCCCCACCCCCGGTTCCCCTTCACAACGCTCCCCGGCGCCCCGTATCCCCCCCCCCCCCCGCCCCGTCGCGGGCCTTTCCCAGACCCCCGCGTGCCCCCCCGCCCCTCTATACCGCGCAGGGCCCCCCCCCGGTCCCGTCCCCGGTCCCGCCCCGCCCGTACCGGACCAGAGCAGCAGCTTTCCGTGAGCCTCCTCCTGCGAGGCGGAGTCGGCGGCCAGCAGCGTGGAGGTGGCGGCGTAGGGCAGGGCCGAGCCCAGGCAGGCACCGTACCGGAGCCGTTCGCAGGGCGCGGGCCGGCGGCAGCGCTCGGGCACGGCCGAAGCGTTGAGGAAGGGGGCGGCGGGGCAGCAGCAGCGGCGGCCGCCCAGCGCCAACGCCATCACCAGCGCCCACCGCCACCCGCCGCCCTGCGCCGCCATCCCGGCCCGCACCGGCGCTAGGCGGGCGGCCCGGCCCCGGCCCCGGCCCCCGCCATGCCCCGACGCCCTTTGTTGAGCTCGCCGAGAGCGGAGCGGGGCCGCTGCTCCTCCTCCTCCTCCTCCTCCTCCTCCTCCTCCTCCTCCTCCTCCTCCCTCAGCGCGGCCCGGCCCGCCGCGGCCCCGCGCCCCCCGCCGGGGCGGGCTGAGGAGAGGCGGCGCGGGGGGGCAGCCCGCTCCGGAGGGGAAAAGGGGCCTTTTTGTGAGGAAAAAGTTCCTTCTTTTTTTTTTTTTTTTTTTTGGAGCGCGCAGGGAGGGGACGGGCGTTTGAGTGGGGAAAGTGGCTTTTGGGGAGGAAAAAGTTCGGGAGCGGGCGGGGGAGGGACGAGTTTCTGAGGGGAAAAGTAGCTTTTTGTGAGGAAAAGTTAAATTTTTTTGAGCGGGCAGAGAGGGGACGAGTTTTTGAGGGGAAAAGGGGCTTTTTGTGAGGAAAAAGTTACTTTTTCTGGAGCTGGCAGAGAGGGGACGAGTTTTTGAGGGGAAAAGGGGCTTTTTGTGAGGAAAAAGTTACTTTTTTCTGGAGCTGGCAGAGAGGGGACGAGTTTTTGAGGGGAAAAGGGGCTTTTTGTGAGGAAAAAGTTACTTTTTCTGGAGCTGGCAGAGAGGGGACGAGTTTTTGAGGGGAAAAGGGGCTTTTTGTGAGGAAAAAGTTACTTTTTCTGGAGCTGGCAGAGAGGGGACGAGTTTTTGAGGGGAAAAGGGGCTTTTTGTGAGGAAAAAGTTACTTTTTCTGGAGCTGGCAGAGAGGGGACGAGTTTTTGAGGGGAAAAGGGGCTTTTTGTGAGGAAAAAGTTACTTTTTCTGGAGCTGGCAGAGAGGGGACGAGTTTTTGAGGGGAAAAGGGGCTTTTTGTGAGGAAAAAGTTACTTTTTCTGGAGCTGGCAGAGAGGGGACGAGTTTTTGAGGGGAAAAGGGGCTTTTTGTGAGGAAAAAGTTCCTTTTTTTTTTTTTTTTTTTTTTTGAAGCGCGCAGGGAGGGGACGGGCGTTTGAGTGGGGAAAGTGGCTTTTTGGGAGGAAAAAGTTCGTGAGCGGGCGGGGGAGGGACGAGTTTCTGAGGGGAAAAGTGGTTTTTTGGGAGGAAAAAGTTACTTTTTTTGGAGCGGGCAGGGAGGAGGACGAGTTTTTGAGAAGGAAAGTGGCTTTGTGAGGAAAAAGTTGGTCTTTTTTCTGGAGCGGGCGGGAGAGAGACGAGTTTTTGAGGGGAAAAGTGGCTTTTTGTGAGGAAAAGTTAAATTTTTTTGAGCGGGCAGAGAGGGGACGAGTTTTTGAGGGGAAAAGGGGCTTTTTGTGAGGAAAAAGTTACTTTTTCTGGAGCTGGCAGAGAGGGGACGAGTTTTTGAGGGGAAAAGGGGCTTTTTGTGAGGAAAAAGTTTGTTTTTTGTTTTTTTTTTTTGAAGCGCGCAGGGAGGGGACGGGCGTTTGAGTGGGGAAAGTGGCTTTTTGGGAGGAAAAAGTTCGTGAGCGGGCGGGGGAGGGACGAGTTTTTGAGGGGAAAAGTGGTTTTTTGTGAGGAAAAAGTTACTTTTTTTGGAGCGGGCAGGGAGGAGGACGAGTTTTTGAGAAGGAAAGTGGCTTTGTGAGGAAAAAGTTACTTTTTCTGGAGCTGACAGGGAGGGGAAGAGTTTTTGGGGAGGAAAGTGGCTTTTTGTGAGGAAAAAATTACTTTTTCTGGAGCTGGCAGGGAGGGGAAGAGTTTTTGGGGAGGAAAGTGGCTTTTTGTGAGGAAAAAGTTACTTTTTCTGGAGCTGGCAGGGAGGGGAAGAGTTTTTGGGGAGGAAAGTGGCTTTTTGTGAGGAAAAAGTTACTTTTTCTGGAGCTGACAGGGAGGGGAAGAGTTTTTGGGGAGGAAAGTGGCTTTTTGTGAGGAAAAAGTTACTTTTTCTGGAGCTGACAGGGAGGGGAAGAGTTTTTGGGGAGGACAGTGGCTTTTTGTGAGGAAAAAAATACTTTTTCTGGAGCTGGCAGGGAGGGGAAGAGTTTTGGGGGAGGAAAGTGGCTTTTTGTGAGGAAAAAGTTACTTTTTCTGGAGCTGGCAGGGAGGGGAAGAGTTTTGGGGGAGGAAAGTGGCTTTTTGTGAGGAAAAAGTTAATTGGGGGGGGGGGGGGGAGTGGGCAAAGAGGGGATCCGTTTTTGAGGAGAAAAATGGGAGTTTGAGGACGGGACTCCCGCTCAAGGAGGAGGGAAGAGAGTTGTTCTCCCGCGGCGGGGGGAAGTTGGTTTGGGGGGGAAATACTGGGTTTTGGGAGGGGAAAGTTGGTTTTAGGGAGGGGAAATGCTGCTTTGGAAGGGGGAGGAGTCGCGTTGGTGGAGAAGATGATCTTTTTTTCGGAGAGAAGTTGGATTTGGGAGGGGGGAAAGTTACTTTTTCAGGTAGAGAAGCCGGGTTTGGGGAAGACAAAAGTTGTTTTGAGGGAGCAAAAAGTTACCTTGGGGGGGTAAAGTTGCTTTTTTTGGCAGAGAAGGCACATTTTTGGAAAAGTTTTTTAGGGAGCTAAGTCACTTTAAGAGGAGAAAGGTTGGATAAGTCAGTCTTTTCGGGGGAAAGTTACTTTTGGGGAAGAAAAAGTCATTTTTTGGAAGAGAAAAGTCGACTTGGGGGACGAGAAGCCACTTTTTGGGGGGGAAAGTCAGTTTAGGGGGACAAAAGCCACTTTAGTTGGAGAGAAAAGTTTATTTTTGTGGATAAAAGTCACTTGCAGGGGCAGTTATTTTGAGGGTAAGAGAAGTTTTTGAGGACAAGAGTCACTTGAGAGGGGAAAGAAAAGTTTCTTTTTTGAAGGGGAAGGTACTTTTGAGAGAGGAAATGTCACTTGGTAGACAAAAGCCACTTCTGGGGGGGAGAAAAGTTGCTTTTTGGGAACAAAAGTCTCTTTTGCAGTTACTTTTTTGAGGGGTAAGTTGTTTTGGGGGGAGAAAAGTCCCCTGTGGAGGGAGAAAAGTTGCTTTCTGGGGAGAAATAGACTTTTTTTTGAGAGGAAAAACACTTTTTTGGGGGGGGGGGGGGGGGAAGAAGCCACCCTTTTGGAGATAACTTGCTTTTGGGGGGAGAAATAGCTCTTTGGAAGAGAAATTTTGAGGAGAAGAGTAACTTTTGGAGGGGAGGAGTGATTCTTTGGAGAAGTGATCACTTTTTTGGGGAAAAAATTACTTTCTTGGGTGACAAGCCACAATTTGGTGGGGGGATGAGGTGGCTTTTGGGTGGAAGAGAAACGTTTTGGAGAGCGAAGTTCCTTTTAGCGGGGCGGGGGGGGGCTGGACTTTTTTGGAAGTTGCTCTTTTGGGGTGATAATCTTTTTTTTTGGGGGGGGGGGGGAGGAACATCACTCTTTGGTGGGGGAGCACCTGGCCAGGGGATGCTGGAGGGGACCAGGGGCCACTTTGGCTGATGCTGGGGCAGGATCAGGCCACCTCGGTCCCCAAAAGCCCTGGGCCACCCCAGCCAAAAGCTGGGGGGGGGGGGGGGGGGGGACAAAACAGCACGGGGAGGTGGCAGGGGGACACGGGGCCAACCCCGGCCTGCCTCGGTGCCTCCCGGCCACACACAAAGGGCCGGGCGCCAGGCTGCATCCCGTCTCCCTCCGCGGCGGGACCACCCAGCCCGAGGAGAAGGAAAAAAAAAAAAATTAAGAAAAAAAAAAAAAAAAAAAACAACAAAAAAAAACCCCAAGCTCCACCCACGCTTCGCGATGACTCTGAAAAGCAGCAGCGAGGCTGCAGGCCTGCGATGCAGCACCCCAAAATTTTGCAGGCTCTTCCCTGGGGCAGAAGTTTGCCTTGCTGCCCCCCCCCCGCCCCCTTTTTTTTTGGGGGGTCCGGCAGCCGCCCCCCCCCCCCCCCCCCCCAATCTGTTGCGATGACGGGGGGCGAAGGGGCTGTCCCCAAGCACCGTGTCCCCACGGAGCCATGGCCCAAAGCCCCGGCGATGTCGTGTCCCCCCCACCCCCCCGAGACCGCAGGCTCTGGCTTTGTCTCTCTTTATTCCCCCCTGAAACCCAAAGGGAAACGTCTCAGCCCGGCACTGAGCCCTCGGGGGGACAGGGGACCGTCCCCTCCTCCCCATGGGGCTCAGCGGGGAGGGGTTCAGCGACGGGACACCCTCCTGTTCTTTTTTCTTCCAGGGCGGCCAGGACAGCACGAAACCCTTGGCTGTGTGTCCGTCCCCCAGGGACAGCAGGACGGAGCCGGCGGAGTTTGTGGCACCCAGCGACGGGGGGCGACACCCCCAATTCCCTCTCCCCACCCCGGGGGCGAAGGCAGCGCGGTGCACAGATCAGGAGAGGACAGACAGACAGGACGCCCACATCCAAGCACGACCTGCGCGCCGCCTCTCACTCCCCCGGACAGACAGACAGCGGCTCACTGGGGGCGGTTCAGTCACGTTCCCCCCCCCCCCCCCCCCCCCCCCAAAAACAAGTCGCGCGGAGCAGCACGGCACATCCCAGCAAACACAGCACCGGCTGCCGAGCCCACCGAATCCCCAGCGTCCCTCTCCAACCTCCCTCTTCTCCAGCAAAACCCCTTCAGCTCTCCCTACGGATCCGGCGTTCGGGAAAAAAAAAAAAAAAAAAAACAAAAAAAACAATAAATTCACCGTCGAGGCTGCGTCTCCCCGACGCTGCGGGGACGGGCACGCGGGCTCAGTACCAAGGGTCTGCCCGGTGTTGCTGGTTGTAGAGCTGCAGCTTGACCTGGTCTTTGATCTGGTTGATGAGGATCTGAGCCAACAAGATGCCCACCAGCTGTGCGGGAGAGGGAGAGGAGGTGAGGAAGGCCGCGAGGAAGACCGCCAGGAGGAAGACCAGGAGGAAGGCCCCGCCGGTACCTGGGGGAGGGCCAGCCCCAGGGCGATGCCCCCCAGTAAGAAGAGGTTGCTGTGGATCCAGTTGACCAGTTTGTCGATGCAGCCGTTGGTGTAGATGAAGGCGCCGGCCTCCAGGTAGCTCCTGGACTGCACCCCCCGCCCGCACAGGGTGTTCACCACGGCCTGGGAGGGGGGACAGGAGGGGACACAAAGGGGTTGGGGACGAAACCCACCGGGCTGGGGGACAAGGCGGGGGGGGCAACTGGGAGCTCTGCCTCAGCCACCAGTCAGGGTGTCCCCCTCCTTAGTGTCCCCAGCCCCATCCCTCCACCGCTGCGTCCCCTTATCACCCACAGCCCCCCTGCAAGGGACAACACCGAGGGGGGGGGGTGGGTGACAGGGTCCCTGCCTCACCACCCCCCCCCCAAATTCACCCCGAGCCCACCACAGCACCCCCAAAACTGTGAGGGTGCTCCAGCTTCCCATGTTTTGCCGATGGGTTCCCTCTCCTGGGGTGCGGGGGCTCTGCGCTCAGTGCAGCCTCAAGGGACAGGATCAGAGGTGCAGAGTGGGGGTCCCCCCAAAAACACCCGGGGGGGGGATGTGTGTGGGTGTGTCCCCCCCCTCACCCCCAGGACACCGTCCTCACCTGCTCAGCGTCCCGCAGGCAGCAGGAGAAGGGGACGGAGCAGCGCTCCCGGCTGGGGTTGGCGGCCGTGCAGTTGAAGTAGATGTTCTGGGACCAGTCCTTGTAGGAGACCCCCCCGCAGCAGCTGAACTGGGGAGGAGGGGACGGGACAGGGACACTGGGACCATGGGCAGCAAGTGACACCCCACTTTTGCGGGGGGGGGGGTGTGGGGTGTGTGTGCATCCCCCCTTTTCATCCATCCCCCCCGCACCTCCCGCTGCCCAAAGTCGATGAGGTTCTGCAGGTCCAGGTCATCCCGGTAATGCACGATGGCACCGTTGATGATCTCGGTGACCTTCCCGCGCGCCTGCGCGATGAGGGGGGGACACACACACACCAGCAAGGTCGTCACCCAACGGGGCAAAGCTGGGGGTCACCCAGCCCGCCCCCCCCCCCCCAACCCAAATATTTATTACCTTATCAGAGAAGACAAAGCCCAACACGCCAGCAGCCAGCTGCAGGAGGAAGACGACGGTCAGGCAGATGCAGAACTGCGAGGAGGGCGAGAGGAGCGTGACGGGGATGGAGACCGCCGGCGCCGAGGGACACCCCCGGGGGGGGGGGAACACGGACATGAGGGGACACACACCCCCCCCCCCAAACTCACCGCCTGCAGCAGGCAGATGTTCTCCCGCAAGGAGCCCACGCAGCCGCAGAAGGTGATGAGGAAGGTGAGGACGCCCACCGCGACGAGCAGGACGGCGGGATCCACCGCCAGGCAGGCCAGCGCCGCCTCTGCCGCGGCCAGCCGTCACCGACACCCCCCGGGGCCACCAACACCCCCCCCCCCAAAAAAAAAAAAAAAACGAGGGGCCCCGAGCCCCCCCCCAGACCTCACCTGCGTGCTTCAGCAGCCGGGCGTAGACCCCCACCGCCACCATCACCATCGAGATCACCTGCGGAGCAGGGCGGGGGGGGGGGGGGGGCTGAGCCGCTGCCCCGGGGCCCCTCGTCACCCCCAACGTGTCCCGAGGGGACAGAGCCCCCTCCCGTCCCCACCCCGGGGCATGGAGTTTGGGGGAAGTGAGAAACTTCCTCAAAATAAATGCGATTTTAAACGTGGGGAAAGCCCTTGAAAAAAATTCCGACCTTCAGGAAAAAAAAAAAAACAAAACAAACAACACCCCAAGAAACGTTAAAAAAAAAACAAAAAACCACAAAATGTAAAAAAAGTCCAACCCAAAACATAAAAAAACCAAATCCTCAAAAACATGAAAAAAATCCCCACCATAAAAAAGTCCCCCAAAAAACATAAATCCTCAAAAAACACATTAGAATTCCCCCACAAAAAACGCAAAAAAAAATCCCCAAAAAAATTGTTTTTAAAAAATCCTCAACATTAAAAATCCCCCAAAAACATAAATCCCCCAAAAACCATAAAAGAATCCCTGAAAAACATATTAAAAGAATTCCCCCAAAACCATAAAGATAATCCCCCAAAACAACTTAAAAAAATCGCCCAAAAAATATTTTTAAAAAATCCTCAAAAAACACAAAAACATTTTCAACATTAAAAAATCCTCGAAAAACATAAATCCCCCCAAAACCCAAGAAATCCCCCCAAATATATTAAAAGAATTCCCCCAAAACCATAATCCTCAAAAACATAAAAAAAAAATCCCCCAAAAAACATTTTTAAAAAAAAAGCCCAAAAAACATAAAAGAATCCTCCCCAAAAAATTTTTTAAAAATCCTTAAAAAAACATTAAAAAAAAAAAAAAGTCCCCCAAGACCCCAGACCATGGAAGTCCCTGCGTGGGGGGGGGGGGGGGGGGGGGGCCTGGAGACAAGAGGGGTCTCTCTGCCCCCCCACCCCAATGTCACCGCTTGCGTGGGGGGGCGGGACGTCACCTGCGCGGGGCCAGGATCGGGCCCAACGGCCGGTGCTGGCGGGTGTCACCCCCCTCGTGTCACCCCCCACCCGTGGGGGCTCCGGGTGCCCCCCCCCCCCCCCCCCGCACTCACCCAGAAGAGCGTGTTGAAGAAGAAGAGCACGTACTTCACCGTCGGGCTCACGAAGGAGAAATCGTCCCCGGGGGGCCCGGCGCCGCCCCCCGCCCGCCTCGCCATGGCCGAGCCGGGACCGACCCACCCGGGACCGACCCACTCGGGACCGACCGACCCACCCGACACGGGACCCGCCGCCCGGCTCCGCGCCCTGAGGTGACTGACCGCTCCGCACCCCCGGCCAGCGGCCCGCCCCACTCCCTCATTGGCCCGCCTGCTGACTCTGACTTCCCATTGGTGGCTTTCCCCGTCGCTCAGCCCCCGCTGCTCCCCGAAGCTCAGTGATTACCGCCGCACCTGTTCGCGGCGCCCCCGGCCTTAAAGGGCCAGCGCCCCTCCTCCTTAAAGGGCCAGCGCACCCGGGGGCTGCAATCACCTCACGAGCGCCTCCTGGCTGACCCCGCAGCCCCGCTTGGCCCAAATCTGCCTGAATTGTGCTGTCCCTGCCCCAGAGACCCTCCAGCTCGGCGGGATGCTTGCATTTTATAAAAATCATAATTTATAATTGATTTCTGCCCTCGGTGACAGACCTGGGGGGGAGGGGGGGACACAAGGGGACAGCAGGGACACAGGAGAGCCCTTGTCCCTGAAACGTGCCCAGCTGGTAAGATTCAGGATTCTCCTCAAAGGGCCCGGCCAAATCTGACCCCAAATTTGCAGAAATCACCCCAAAACCAGCAGTGCCGACAGTCTGTCCCCGGTGACTTTACTGGCACGAGGAAGCGGGAGCCCAAGCCCCAGCAAGTCTCCAATCCACTGCCAAAATCTGCGTAAAAAAACGGGGAGTTTGGTGGATTTCTTTGCGCATTTCCCCTCATTTCTGGGCGTCCAGTGTGACCCCCCTGAAGCCGGTGACAAGGAGGAGGAGGACGGCTCCTTCCTCCACCCCAACACTCTGCCCCATTCCCTCCACACTCCGGTTGCTCACCTCGTTTGCATTAATTACAGGCTCAGGAACACAAGGAATCAGCAGGTCCCTTCCTGAACCAGCTCCCAGCCTCAAATCCCTTTTTTTTTGCAGAATTTTTACACCTATTTTTCGCGGCCCAATTTTCATGAGCCGCCATCTCATCCCATTGCTGTGACATGGTTGTGCCATCGCGGGGCCAAGTCCCCTTTGCTTGGGGGACCTCTGCCCCTCTGTTACTACTATATTTATTATTGTATTCATTATTATAGTTATTGTTATAATTATTAACATATTTATTTTATTAATATATTTATCATTTCTCCACCATGCCTGGGTTCATCAAGGCTGGAAAGCCCCAGGGAGCCGCTGATGGTGCCAGCATGGCCCTTCCTGTCAGCAACTGAGAATTTTGAGAAAAGGAACTGAAACCAAAAATCCCCTTCTTGCTTTTAGGGTCACTGAGGTGCCACCGCGGTGGTGACACCCGGCCCGTGTCACCCAGGAGCCACCACCCGGCCCCAGCTGCAGGTCCTGGGGAGGTGTTTGCTTCGGGTGCTACTGGAAGAAGCCCCCGTGGCCCCCAAAAAGCCATGGTTGATGCCCGTGGGGATCCAGGGAGCCCCCTCAGGCCACCCACAGGGCCTTGCTGGGGTGGGACGCTCCCGAGTCCCCACGGAAGTGCTTCTGCCCCGGCGGTGAAGATGAAGGTGCCCACGCTGGCCCATGGAGGCACCATCCTCCTGTCAGGTCTGCACATCCGTCTGTCAGACCTGCACCTCCACCCATCCCACCTGCGTGGCCACCCGTCAGATCTACGCGCCCACCCATCAGATCCATGCTTCCACTCCTCAGATCTACGTGTCTCCCATCAGATCTATGTGCCCACCCATCAGATCTGCACGTCCACCCATCAGATCTCTGCGTCCACTCAACAGATCTACGTGTCTCCCATCAGATCTACACGTGCACTCAACAGATCTGCACATCCACCCATCAGATCTACGCATCCACCCAACAGATCTACATGTCCACCCAACAGATCCATGCGCCCACTCGTCAGATCTACGTGTCTCCCATCAGATCTACGTGTCCATCCATCAGATTTACGTGTCCACTCAACAGATCTACGTGTCTCCCATCAGATCTACGTGTCCATCCATCAGATTTACGTGTCCACTCAACAGATCTACGTGTCTCCCAACAGATCTACGTGTCTGCCATCAAATCTGCACGTCCACCCATCAGATCTACACGTCCACTCAACAGATCTACGTGTCCACCCATCAGATCCATGCGCCCACTCGTCAGATCTATATGTCTCCCATCAGATCATGTGACCCATCAGTTCTATACATCCACCCGCCAGATCTACGTGTCCACCCACTGGATCTATGCGTGACCCATCCGTTCTATACATCCACCCACTGGATCTACGCGTGACCCATCCGTTCTATACATCCACCCACTGGATCTACGCGTGACCCATCCGTTCTATACATCCCCAGCCTGGGGGTGACAAGTGGCTGTGGAGCGGGGAGTGTCCAGGCACACACATGTGAGTGAGCGCGTGTGTGTGTTACACGCGTGTGCACACGGAAGGGGACGGGACACGGAAGGTGACACGCCCCACTCCCCCCCTAAAACAGCGCGCCGCGGGACACGGGCACCACGCGTGACCGAGGGGGCGTGTCCAACAGCGAAGGCGGGGCGGGACGTGGGCAAGGCGTGGACACAGGGGAGGCGGGACGATGGGAGGGGCGGGGCGTGGGGCGTGTCCGGTGACGGGAGGGGGGCGTGTCTGTGGGCGTGGCCACCCCGTCCCAGCCGTCAGCATCAGCGCTCAGGGGTGGGGGGAGAGGAGGGTTCGGGTGCACACGTGGACGCGCCCCCGCGAGACCATTCCCCCCCCGGCACCCCAATATCCCATCCCCCCCCCCCGGCACCCCCCTTAACCCATTCCCACCCCTCCGACACCCCCCATCTCCCCCCCCCAGAAACCCCATCTCCCCGCCCTCTCCCCCCCTCCTCGAGACTCACATCCCCCCTTCCAAGACACCCATATCCCATCACCCCCCCACAGATTCCCAGCACCCCCATCCGCCCCCCAGGACACTCATGTCCCATTCCCACCCCCCTTGGTACCCCCATCCCCCCCCCGCGACCCCCCCCACCCTCCCCAGCACCCCTATATCCCATCACACCCCCCCGGGACCCCCACATCCCTTCCCCCCCCCCCGCACCCCCACATCTCATCCCTACACGGGAACCCCCCCATCTCATCCCCCCCCATCTCATCCCCCTCCCCCATATTCCCCCCCACGGGGTGCAGCCCCAGGGCGCACTGGCAAGGAGGGGGCCCACCCCCCCCAGCTCCGCAGCAACGCGCTTTATTTGGGGACCAACAGCCCCCCCGGCCGACACCCCGCGGGGTTTGGGGTCCCCCCCGATTTGGTGGGGGGGAAACCCCCCCTGCCCTGCCCCCGGAGCCCAGCAGACACTCCCCCCCCCCCCCCAGGCCGCTGTGCACCCACCCTGCCCCCCCAAGCATTGCCCCAGCCCCCCCAAACCCCCCGTTCGGTGGAGCCAGGGCCTCATCCTGCACCAGCGTGCCCTCAGGTGCTGAGACTTTTCAGGTCACCCAAGGCCACCGCTGCTCTTCCTCCTCCTCCTCCTCCTCCTCCTCCTCCATCGGCAGCTCCGGGCTCCTGGGCTGCACCCCGCGCTGAGGGCAATGCTGAGCCGGGGTGGTGGGACCCCCACGTGCCACCCATGGGGGGACCCCTCCTCCTCCCAGCCACCATCCTCATCTTCATCTCAGTCCCATCCCCATCCTCATCTTCATCCCAGCCACCATCCTCATCCTCAACCCAGTCCCATTCTCATCCCCATACCAGCCACCACTCTCATCCCCTCTCTTCATCCCCATCTCCATCCTTGTCCCCATCCCCATCTTCATCCTCATCCCCATTCCATCACCATCTTCATCCCATCCTCATCCCAAGTCCAATCTCATCCTCTTCCCACCCTCATCCCCATTCCCATTCCATCCCCCTCTTCATCCTCATCCCATCCTCATCCCCATCTTCATCCTCATCCCATCCCATCCTCATCCCCATCTTCATCCTCATCCCATCCCATCCTCATCCCCATCTTCATCCTCATCCCATCCCAGTCACCAGCCTCATCCCATCCCCATCCTTATCCCAGTCCCAGCCCCATCTTCATCCCATCCTCATCCCCATCTTCATCCTCATCCCATCCCAGTCACCATCCCCATGCCCATCCTCATCCTCATCCCAGCCACTATCCCAATCCCCCTCTTCATCCCCATCTCCATCCTTGTCCCCATCCTCATCCCATCCCAGTCACCATCCCCATCCCATCCTCATGCTCATCCCCATCCCAACCCCACCTTCATCTTCATCCCATCCTCGTGCTCATCCCAACCTCATCCCCATCCCCATCTTCATCCCATCCTCATCCTCATCTCAATCCCACCCTTGTCTTCATCCTCATGCCATCCCTATCCTCATGCCATCCTCATCCTCATCTCAATCCCACCCTTGTCTTCATCCTCATGCCATCCCTATCCTCATGCCATCCTCATCCTCATCCCATTCCCATCCTCATCCCAATCCCATCCCCAACTTCATCCTCATCCCATTCCCATCCTCATCCTCATCCCCCCCCATCCCCACTCCAACTTCACAAATCATCTGGGACCAGACCAGAAAACCCATCCCCCTTGTCTCCCCTTTTTCCCCCCACTGACTTCGGGAGGGGGGGGGGGGGTGTGGGGTGTCACCAGGCACCCCCACCCCCCCAGCACTCACCTCGGTGCCCGCAGCACCGGCGCCCGTAGCGGCAGCAGAGCAGGACGCCGATGGCCACGGCAGTGAAGGCGGCGGTGAGGATGCACACCACCATGATCATGTCCGGCTCCTCGCTTCTCGGCACCTCTGCGGGACGACGCAGGGACGTGGAGACAAAGGCCAGACCCCCCCTTCACCAAACCCCCACACACACCCGGGCTGGGGGTACCCCAAAACCCTGGGGGGGCGGCGGGACACACACACACACCGGGCACCACCCGCATGGAGCCAAGGGCTGGTGTTGGAGCGAGAGCTGGTCACATCAAGGAATAGGAGACACCCCAAAATGAAGGGTGTCACCCCCCCCAAGGACGCTCACCTGGCAGGGGGGGCTGCAGCACCAGGCTGCAGAGGAGCTCCGGGGGGGCGGCGGCGGTGGCGGCCACGTAGCAGGAATAATTCCCAAAATCGGGATCGCTGAGGTTCCTCAGGAGCAGGGACACGCCGGTGGCCCCCGGCCCCGCGGCGCAGAAGCCCACCCTGCCCCGAAAGCGGTTGTGCGGTTCCTCCGGTGGGTGCCAGCCCGGCTCCGGCGGCGGGTGCCCCTCCAGGCGGTGGGTGAGGACGGGGACGGGGTGCTGGGTGCCGGCCCGGTGGGTGCAGGTGAGGGTGACCCCACGCAAATGTCCCCAAGGCTGGGTGCCGCAGGGCAGGCAGGCGTCCTCGCCCACCGCCGCCGTGACGGTGACGGGGGGCTGGTCTGTGGAGAGGGGGGGGCACACACACAGAGCGGGGTCACGCTTCCCTCCCCCCCCAAAATCCCACGGGAGCCCTGTAATGGGGACATTGGGGGGGGGGGGATGACATGGAGTGGGGTACCCCCCTGAGACAGGGGGGTGGATTTTGGGTGCAGGGGGTGGGGTGGGGTTTGGGGACAGTGGGGACGTCGGCGAGGATGATGATGGTGGCATCTGGGGTTGAGCGGCGGCTCCTGGCGAGGCCGAGGGCTCAGCGGTGCCAAGCAGCCGCCCCGTGAGTCACCACCGTGGTGCTGGGAACCGTCACCCGCTCGTCCCTTTGGGATGCCCCCCCCCCCCCACGCATGGGAGGAAAAGAGGGGGGTGCAGATTTGGGGGATTGGGGGCTCTATCCGGAACCCCCCCCCCCACCACCCCACTGCCAGTGGGTACCTGCCCGGGCGAGGAGGGGAGCCAGGGCCCAGAGCGCCGCGACGGGGACCAGCACCATCCTGCCGGCATCCGGACCCGCCGCCTGGGCAGCACCCGGGGAGGGCGGTCACGGCACCGGCACCGGGGGGGTCACCCCAAAAACACCCCGCACTGCCCCCCCCCCCCCCCGGAATGTTCACCCCAGCTGGGGTGGGCAGGGCATGGGGTGGGGGTGTGGGGGCTGGGGTGCTATAGGGCAGGGTCTGGGCACCTATAGGGCAAGGGTCTGGGGCAAGTATAGGGCAGGGTCTGGGCACCTATAGGGCAAGGGTCTGGGGCAAGTATAGGGCAGGGTCTGGGCACCTATAGGGCAGGGGGTCAGGCAGGTATAGGGCAGGGGTCTGGGGCAGCTATAGGGCAGAGTCTGAGGCAGCTATAGGGCAGGGTTGGGGTAGTTATAGGGCAGGAATACTATAGTGGGTATAAGGCAGGGTCTGGAGTATCTATAGGGCAGGGTCTGGGGCACCTATAGGGCAGGGCCTGGGGCATCTATAGGGCAGGGCCTGGGGCATCTATAGGGCAGGGTCCGCAGCGGCTATAGGGCAGGGCCCGGGGCGGGTGTGGGGCAGGGCCGTGGGGCAGCAGAGCCCCCTTCCCCCCCCCCCCCCCTCCGGGGATGCTCTGGGGCCCGGCAGCCCCCCCCGGCCCGGGGAGAGATGGGGGGGGTCACCCTCCGCCCGGCCCCCGCGCCCCTCACCGTGGCGTCCCGGCTGCCGCCTGCCCGCGCCCAGCCCCCGGGAGCCGCTCCGGCGCCACCGCCCGGACACGCCCCCGGACACGCCCAGGCCACGCCCAGGCCACGCCCCGCGCTGGGAAGCATCGGGAGGGAGAATGGGATGGGAATGGGATGGGAATGGCCCCGCCCACCCAGCCGTGCCCCGCCCACCCGGCCGTGACTCACCTCCGTGTGCCCCGCCCACCCAGCGGTGCCACTGCCCCGCCCTCATGTGCCCCGCCCACCCGGCTGTGCCCCACCCAGTTGTGCCCCGCCTACCCAGCTGTGACTCACCCACCCGTGCTCCTCCGCGCCCACCCGTGGGTGTCACCGCCCCACTCCTGCCCGTGGCGGGGGTGGGGACACGCCGGGGGGGGGGGTTCAGGGCCCCGCGAGAGCCGGAGCCCCCCGCGGGGGCGGAGCGGCGGCTCTTAATTAGCGCTAATGAGAGGGAGGGGGCAGGAGGTGACAGGGGTGCCCCACGGGCGGGGGCGCCTCGGTGACACGCGAGGACACGCGGGGCTGGCGGCGGGGGGGCCACACACCCCCGCGGGCGTCGGGGCGGAAACCACGGGGTTAAAACCGCAGGTCAGGTTTTCATGTCTTTTATGTTTTTACACACAAAATACACAATATTTGTGTAGTTTTATATGATATGCAGAATGGGCAATAATCATCTATTTTATATTATATACAAAATACATAATATTTACACTATATAGAGAATAGATCATTTTAACATGGTAAGGTTTAATAATATAATATAGTACAACATAACATACTATCATTAATATAATATATAATATAACATAATATAACAATATAATGCAATATAATGCAATACAATGCAATATAATGCAATATAATTGATATAATATAATATAATATAATATAATATAATATAATATAATATAATATAATATAATATAATATAATATAATATAATATAATATAATATAATATAATATAATATAATATAATATAATGTAATGTAATAAAATAATACAATATAATGGAATTAGAATAAATAGAATAGAATTAATATAATATAGTATAACATAATATCATTAATATAATATATAATATAACATAATATAACAATATAATATAATATAATATAATGTAATGTAATATGATGTAATATAATAAAATAATACAATATAATGGAATTAGAACAGAATAGAATAGAATAGAATAGAATAGAATAGAATAGAATAGAATAGAATAGAATAGAATAATGTTATGTCTCTCTATCTCTCGTTTTACTACAAGTCACTACAAAATTACCCCTAGGAAAGCATATATATATTTTTTTTACAGGAATAAAGCAAATTTAGGTATACCAGAAGTTATTTCATAATTTCAGCTAGTAATATAAGTATGTACAGTACTTACAAAAATATACAATAATATTTTCTATTACATACAAAAGAGATTATATTTAATTTTTATGTTATATACAAAAGATACAATATTAATATTACATGCCAAATATAAAATATTAATATAAAGTAATGTGACATAATATAAAGTAATGTGATATCACGGATTTAGAATAGAATAGACCAATATTGTGTCTCTGTCTACTACAAGTCACTGCAAAATTACCACAAGGAAAATCTCTCTCTGTGTAACAGTGCCCGTGCGTGACACAGGAGCTGACACCTGGGCCGGGAGCAGAGCCAGCGCCGCCCACCCGCAGCTGCTGCCGAGCCCCGGCGGGTGACAGGGACCCCAACTGGTGACAGGGACCCCAACTGGTGACAGGGAGCCCCGGCGGGTGACAGGGACCCCAACTGGTGACAGGGAGCCCCAACTGGTGACAGGGAGCCCCAACTGGTGACAGGGACCCCAACTGCTGACAGGGACCCCAACTGGTGACAGGGAGCCCCGGCGGGTGACAGGGACCCCAACTGGTGACAGGGACCCCAACTGGTGACAGGGAGCCCCAGCGGGTGACAGGGACCCCAACTGGTGACACAGAACCCCAACTGGTGACAGGGACCCCAACTGGTGACAGGGAGCCCCAGCGGGTGACAGGGACCCCAACTGGTGACACAGAACCCCAACTGGTGACAGGGACCCCAACTGGTGACAGGGAGCCCCAGCGGGTGACAGGGACCCCAACTGGTGACACAGAACCCCAACTGGTGACAGGGACCCCAACTGGTGACAGGGAGCCCCAGCGGGTGACAGGGACCCCAACTGGTGACACAGAACCCCAACTGGTGACAGGGACCCCAACTGGTGACAGGGAGCCCCAGCGGGTGACAGGGACCCCAACTGGTGACACAGAACCCCAACTGGTGACAGGGACCCCAACTGGTGACAGGGAGCCCCAGCGGGTGACAGGGACCCCAACTGGTGACACAGAACCCCAACTGGTGACAGGGACCCCAACTGGTGACAGGGAGCCCCAGCGGGTGACAGGGACCCCAACTGGTGACAGGGAGCCCCAACTGGTGACAGGGAACCCTGGCGGGTGACAGGGAGCCCCAACTGGTGACAGGGACCCCAACTGGTGACAGGGAACCCCGGCAGGTGACAGGGAGCCCCAACTGGTGACAGGGAGCCCCAGCGGGTGACAGGGACCCCAACTGGTGACACAGAACCCCAACTGGTGACAGGGACCCCAGCGGGTGACAGGGACCCCAACTGGTGACAGGGAGCCCCAACTGGTGACAGGGAGCCCCGGCGGGTGACAGGGACCCCCAACTGGTGACAGGGAGCCCCAACTGGTGACAGGGAGCCCCAGCGGGTGACAGGGACCCCAACTGGTGACAGGGAGCCCCGGCGGGTGACAGGGAACCCCGGCTGGTGACAGGGACCCCAACTGGTGACAGGGAGCCCCAGTGGGTGACAGGGAGCCCCAACTGGTGACAGGGACCCCAACTGGTGACAGGGAACCCCAACTGGTGACAGGGAGCCCCAGCTGGTGACAGGGACCCCAACTGGTGACACGGAACCCCAGCTGGTGACAGGGAACCCCAGCTGGTGACAGGGAGCCCCGGCTGGTGACAGGGAGCCCCGGCTGGTGACACGGAACCCCGGTTGGCGACACGGAACCCCAACTGGTGATGCAGAATCCCGTTTGGTGACAGGGAACCCCGATTGGTGACGGGGAACCCCAGTTGGTGACACGGAACCTCAGTTGGTGACACAGAACCCTGGTTAGTGACACGGAACCCCAATTAGTGACAGGGAACCCCAGTTGGTGACACAGAACCCCGGTCGGTGACACAGAACCCCAGTTGGTGACACGGAACCCCAATTAGTGACAGGGAACCCCAGTTGGTGACATGGAACCCCGGTCGGTGACACGGAACCCCGGTCGGTGACACAGAACCCCAGTTGGTGACACGGAACCCCAATGAGTGACAGGGAACCCCAGTTGGTGACACGGAACCCCGGTCGGTGACACAGAACCCTGGTTGGTGACACAGAACCCCGGTCGGTGACATGGAACCCCGGTCGGTGACACAGAACCCTGGTTGGTGACACAGAACCCCGGTCGGTGACATGAAACCCCGGTCGGTGACACACCGCCCACCTGTGAGGTGTCACCCGCCGTGGCTCTGGGTACAACCACTGCCCCTCACCCCCCGCCCCGGGTGAGCCATGGCACCGCGTCCCCCCGGTGTCCCCACGAGGGGTCCCTGGCCAGGCCACCTCCCACACGGCACCTCATTTTGGGTAAATCACCAGATATTTCTCTTTTGACACCCTTTTTTTGGGGCGCTGGGCCATGGGCGGGTATACGACAGCGGCTCTGGGGGTGGGGTCCCCCACTCTGCACCCCCAGAATCCTGCCAGCTGCTCCCACCCCGAGGGGACCACCAGCAGTGACCCACCCAAGGGGGTCTGGGGAGGTCTCGTTCACCCCCAAACCTCCAGGGGTTCAGCTCACGGGTTCGTGGATCCTGCTGGACACAAGGACTTGGTGGTTTTGTTTCCGTTAATTTATTTATTAAAATTAATATCCCTTACTATTCCTCTAAATCACTATTAGTGACAGTTATTGTCTACTATCACTATAATATAAAATACTATTCATATTAATTACTAACAGTAATATTAGTGTTAACAATACAGATGAACAGTAATAGCAATAATAGATTATTAGCGATAATACATATTACTAAAGTAATTAGTAGATCTTTATCAGTTCTACTGATCTACTTTAGATCTAATTAGTTCTGCTAATAAGTAGATCTTTATTACAAATCACTATAAATTAATATTAAACTTACGATGAGTAAAGCAATAGGGTATCACAAGTTACTTAAAATTACTACCAGAAAAGCAAATATATACTCAATATTACTAATTAATCCAAATTACCACCAGTAAAGCAACAAAGGTTCTTATGATTAATTACCTTTATGCACACAACTATTTATATGTTCCACCATTTTGAGGCGTTGCCACCGTTTTCAGGCATCTCCACCATTTTGTGGCGTTGCCACCATTTTGAGGCGTTGCCACCATTTTGAGGCGTTGCCAATGTTTTGAGGCCTCACCAACGTTTTGAGGTGGCACCATCGTTTTGAGGCCTCACCACCATTTTGAGGTGGGGAACACACCGTCCTTGGGGGCCGCCACGAGTGGGACCACACCATCCCTGTGGTACAAGATCCAAGACCATGGCCATGTGTCCACCGGTGTCAGGGACAGACCCTGAGCAGGGACGGCTCCAGGTTGACGTGCCGCTGAATGCCATTTGTGTCATATTTGATTTAATTAGATTCATTAGTGGAAACCCGACTAGTACAATTTACTAGCACACAAACACCTCCAGGCCAGAGGAGAGTCTACGCGCTAATTATGTTCAAGGCGATGGCTGGGCTGGAAGTCAAATATTAAATTTTTAGACAAGAGGTGCCATGGTGCCGGCCTCTGCCCACCACGGGGACGGGGTTTTGTAGGCGTTGGTGCCACCAAGGCAGCACCACCAGGGTCTTCAGATGGTGGCCCACCACCTTTGCCCAAGGGCATTGTAGTGTTGGCCAACTGAGCGCCATAGGTTGGAAGAGCAAC